TCTCTCTCTCTCTCTCTCTCTCGCGCGCCCAGGAGACGATAAATACACGTTCTCCGCGAATTGGTAAACTGTCACAATTGGAAATGCATCCGTAACTGTTGGTGGAAATACGTTCCGCTCGTTCGGAATTATTTCTCTCGAATTCTCCGTTCCCTTCTCGAATTCTCTGATCGCGCTCCGGTCCCTTCCACCCATTGTTCTCTTGATTGCGGCTTCTTAACCGGATCCACGTGTAGCTACGAAGCGAGTTTCGTATTCGAGGGTAACGCGAGCAAGCGGCAACATCGGTTGTCCCAATTTTAATAACATCGAGCCTCAGAATGTACGGGATGGTATATTCACCGGATATTACTTACGAGTTAAAATATCTCTTAACTACAAGTAAGTGAAAATCGTCCAATTTCATTTGAAACATTTTTTAGTCGTATAAATATGGATAATAACAATGATGAAAATTGTTGGTATCTTATGAACCATTTTGTATATATTATGCATGGATTAGAAAGAGATGTTTCTGGAAAAAAGATTAATTTAATATTGGAAGCAGAAAATTAATGCAATGCTTAAATAGTAACAATTTCCATCGAATTCTATTTTTTTAAAAAAGAGATTTCTTCGCGTCCCTATATTTTGAGAATTTGCATTAACCTATACTTTATCGATTGGTTGATCGTAAACCGAGTCTCAGAATATACAGGGTGGTACATTAACCGGATATTACTTCGATTTAAAATATTTCATTAACATATAAATAGGTATTTCTTGAAATCATTCAATTCCATTTGAAATATTTTTGATACGAATAAAAAAAAACACTGGATCATGATATCTAATGAATCTGTGTATTGCTCAATTAAAAAGAAACTAGAAAGGAACGAAGGAGATTCAACGTTTCTGGCAAAGATTATTTAATATTGAAAGTAGAAAATTAATGGAATGCTTAAGCGTTTGAAATTCGAGTAACAATTTCCATCGAATTTTATTTTTCTAAAAAAGAAATTTCTCGCATCTACATTTAGAATTTGATCGTAAACACCGAGTCTCAAAATGTACGGGGTGGTATATTCATCGGATATTACTTCTAGTTAAATTCTAATTCGTTCAACTCCGTTTGAAATATTTTTTTATATTTGAATTTATTATATTATTATTTATTATTTAAAATATTTCCTAACATATAAATACTTCTTAAAATCATTCAAATTCATTTGAAATATTTTTCGAATAATAAATAATAAAAAGCATTATGATATCTGGTGAACCATCCTGTGTATATTGCACGAATTGTGTATATTGAAAGAAAGGAACAAAGAAGATTCGACTTCTGTCAAAGATTATTTAATATTGAAACTAGAAAATTAATGGAATGCGATTTCTTCGCGTACATTTTTAGAATTTGAATCGATCTTCTTTACGCGCCTACGATCGGTCGATGAACTCCTCCTCCCTTCATCGCTATTGTATACTGAAACTATATTTGCATTTTCCAAGGGGATCAAGGGGTGCGACACGCACCCTGTTCGCGATATTCCAACCAATTCCCATCCGAACGCAGTTCGCATTTACATCCTTAAATATCACCCCCTACATGCCGTTCCTGAACTAATTACGATGCCTTATCTCGGCGACAGCCATTAAAAACGCGCGCTTTCCTCAACAAGACCGCGGTCCAATTTCCTCTAATCCTTGGATCTTCGTATCCTCATCCTCTGGCCATAAACCGCATCGTTGCCGAATTCGAGAGGAAGGAAATATTTTCGATTCGATTTTTTCGAAAATTCGAATTTCCTCGGAGAATCTCGATAGATCGGATCACACCTTGGGACCTTAATAGCCACGGTGCTCCGTAATTGGCCGGTATTCGTTTTAGCGGGGTTGGCAGGGGACGCCGAGGAGGGCGGGGTTAACTGGAAAGGGCGGAGGAGGAGAGCGGTTGTAAACGTTGGCCGGTATCAAGGCACCGATGGTATTATCGCCAACTTAATGAATGGAGCCACGACTCGCAGCCGAGGGACGATAACGAGGCTGATAATGATAAACGATCCGTGCACCCTCCCCCTCTAAACCACCATCTTGTCGTTGTGTTGTTCCATACCACATCCAGCCGGGGCAAGGATGGGAGAGGATGCGTTTTGAAGGCGATCTGCAACGCGGCTGGGAGGAGTCGAAGGGACGTTGGGAAAGGACCTTTCATGAGGGAGATTCTCCACGCTGTGTTCACGTGAGTCATACATCCTTCTTCTTTAAAAGAGAAGCAACGATCGACTACGAATGATAATAACGATGTGATCTTTTGGTGATGTTTGGTATTTTTTATCGAACGTAAAAATCAATAACTTTTGCTCGAAAGTAAGCAAGTAATGATAGAAAAAAAAGCTTTCGAAATTCGACGAGGAGCTTTCGAATTCGTTAAGGATTAATCGCGATCTCGGCGGTTCTCGGGCAAAGTGGATGGAAAGGGAGATCGATTAAAGATGAATGGGGTAATTAGCGTTTGTTGGCTCGTAAATGAAACGGCGCGATGTTATACGCGGTTCGTTGGACTTTTCAATCAGCCGGATCGATCGAAAATGGAAGATCGCCGCCGCGATGGAAGATTGATCGATGGAATATTGAATAGGGGAGAAGATGGCGGAACGAATGGAAAACGCAGATTAATCAAATGTTCATCGAAGGCATCGAGAAGGTGACGATCACCAAGTGGGCAACGATCGAATGGTTAAACGATGATTACCGAAAAGATTGATTAAAAGAGGGGGAAAGGAGGGGGGATGGTATCGAGGAGGTGGTAAAAAATGGGGGACGCGCTGATTGATTAATCGAAGGTTGATCGATGATTTTTTCTTTCTTTCTTTCTTTCTTTTTTCCTCCCCTCCTTAAAAAATTCCAAGTTTAAAGAAAAATGGGAAATAAAGTCAGGGAAAGGAGGATGCGGAAGGAGAAGGGGATGACGGATGCATCCGTTATCAAAGTGTCGTCTCGCCGTCTTTTCGAGAACTCGGTACTCGAGAAGCTCTGGTTCGAAAGTCGGGGCCGCCGCGTGACAAGCCGGTCGCGTTACACTTTTTCGATAACACGTTGAATTTATTCATGACATCCGGTGTTGCGCTTAACGTCGTCGTCCCCAGGCTGCATCGGGGAAAAGCCCGTCGAGGCCACTCGCGGAATTCCTCCTCGACAACTTCTCCCCCCTCGTTCCATTTTAATAATCGTTATGAAGTTTCCGGGCGCTGCGAGAAGCCGCGGCTCGATCGAGCTTGTTCTTTCGTTCGGGAGATGCCTCTCCCGATAATTATTTCGATGGAAGGCGATGAAACGCGACATTTTTTCCAACTTTTTCTCGGTTATTTCGAAAATTTAGTTTCGAGATGTAGGCTCGTGAAAGGTGACCCGTTAAGAGATTCGGGAGAAAAAGAAAAGGGGATAGAAAAATTCGTTTCGTTTCTTTCCTCTGAATTCTGATACGATTTCACATCGATGCGAAATTTTCCTTCGAAAGCAGTTTGCGGAATATTGTTTGGATGGAATGTTCTTTAACAATCCTCTCTTTAATAATAATAATTCAGAGAAGTTTCCACGTTTCAGATTGCCGGCGAGCTACGACGACGGTGATCCAACGACCGAGTACGAGAGAGCTTACTTCCTAAAAGAGAATTGCAACGAAGCGGAGTGGAAATGTCCGGATGTGTTCTGAGACAATCTTTCTTCTTAATTTATCAAATAATTGTGCCACCACTGTTGTGCACTGTCTAGGGAGATCTCTCGAAGACACGCTTCCGTCCAATCACCATACTTTTGCTCCAGATACTGTTTAATTAATCCGTTGAATAAAACGAAGATCGCTCGTCTCTTGTTTAAAGAAGGAATAAAAAAAAAATTGCCAATCTCTTTTTCGACAGAACGCTTCCATCTATTTTTTTTTATGGAACGATGGTGATGATTCGTAAACAAATTCGAAAAATATTATAAATATTCGAGAATCAATTCAAGAGCCAAATAATTATTTACAATTAACGAACAAAAGCTACAGCTTCGTAAATTTCTTTCTAATCTCTCTATGCCTCCGTCTCCATATTTTTCCAAAAATTATTTAATTATTAACCCGTGAATAAAACGAAGATCGTTCACCTCTTGTTTAAAGAACGAATAAAAAAAAATTCTCTTTTTCGACAGAACGTTTCCATGTATTTTTTTTACGGAACGATGATGATAATTTGTAAATTTTATTATCAAGAATCACCTCAATCTGTACCAAATGTAATTGTTCACACTTGACTTGACGAAAATATTACAGCTTTTAAACAATTTCTCTCGAATCTATCTAAGGATGAACTCGTGCGATAAATCGTGGAAGATGACGCGAGATGTCGTGGAGCGGAGGAGTTATCGGCGGATTCATTAGCCCTAGGACAACACCGCGGCCTGGAATAATATCGTGGCATGTGCTCGAGCACGCACCCTTCCTGGGGATTGCGGCCTGGTTTCGGTATTTTGCTTGTACGCGCGCGTATCTCGCTTTCGACCGCGTGTTTGCGCGTGCACACATTTCGACGTAACGCAATTCCCCCTTTGAGAACGTCAGCCGAGGCTTGCGCTCGAATCACCCGCCATTAACATCCTATCCCTCCTCTCTCTCTCTCTCTCTCTTTCGCTCTATCTCTCTTTCTCTCTTTCGTTCGAATCTCGACCTCGTGGAATTTGTTTGATTTGCACGCCATTTGCAATTTTAGAATTGTACCGTTGGATGTAAGAAGATTCAAGACTTCTTGAGAGAAATATTTAATTAGATTCTACATTCTTTTCTTTGTAAATATCCTGTGAATCTCGTTTTCAATAGTTACGACACATTTTGTAATACTTTTTTCTTTTAGAAACTGACGATTGATCACTAAGGCTCTTTTTGCATCCAACGGTAATCAATTCTCACTTGCTCTCGCATCGTTGGAAAGGAATTCGAGATTTCATGAGCTGTTAAGCGAAAAATTTCATTTTTACAGCGTCGCACATTGATTCGAATAATTAAGTGGACAAAATTTATTTTCAAATTTGTAAAAAATAATCGTTTCAATGTAATGTATAATAATTTTTAATTCTCTTTTTAGAGATAGGGAATTAAAAATTAGGGAATTAATCTATAACTGATCGATCACGTTTCAATCGTTGAAAAATATTCTGCAAATTTATTAAAAACTATTTAAATTTCAATTTTATAAATAATCAATAAGTTTCTTATTCTTTTGTAAATTGAGGTTAAAATTAATTACTTCGTGTTCAGAAATTCACAAATGTGATGACTTGTCGATGATTTTTTTTTTATGTTCCACCTCGTTCCACGCAATAAAAGTTGGATATATGAAAAGTAGAAACTTTCTACTTTTTTTTTTACCGCCATATTTTATTTACAAAACTTTGCAAAACTAAAATTAATTTTGTTTACGACCGTCCATGATATACATACCCAACCGAACAGGCTCGTCAACGTTGACTTAAAATTCTTTAATATAGCCATTTATGGATTAATTCTAATCTATCTTATATTAATAATATGCTCATTGTTTGTTCATTATATATTTTAGAGAAATAATCAATAATAATATTCCTTCACTTTAGCTATTTCTTTCAATCTTCGAGCGATCTTCTTACGATCCCTTTTTCATATTATAATTTTCATAAATTTCATCGGTTTTTATTTTATGTTGAATTATCACCTAGCAAATTCGATTTACAGGATAGAATTCTTTGCATGGTCGCGACGTTTAGATCCGAAATCGAATAAATTTCGAAAAAAACTTTGAAAGCGCACCTCCGCGACGACGAGCGTTGCCTCGCGTTTCGCGAGATAATTTCACTTGGAGGAGGTGAACCCCTCTTTTCTCTTCCTTTTTTTTCTTTTTCTTTTTTTTTTTTTTCCCCGTCCCGTCGCGGAGTCCCTCGACGAGTGATTTATCCGACGTCCGAGACGAGCCGATTTTGCCGGCGCCCGGTCCACCGCCCGATGGCCCCTAATTAAACGGGTCGCTGCATTTTAAACGAGCGCGGGGAATCCCCGAAATTACAGCCGGCCAATACTTTCACGAATAAATGAATCCCCGATGCCTGGGATTCGCCTGGCCGCCGTCTTTCCCACCGAAAAAAAAAAAAAGAAAAAAAAAAAAAAAAAAAAAAAGGTCAGTAATTATGAGCGAACGTTTCGCGTTACGTTAATTACCTGCCTATTTTCCATTCATCAACCCTCCCTCTCTCCCCTCCTCCTCTCCGCGTATACACGCGTTCATTGTTTATCCTCGTTCGGGATAATTTCTGCAATTATAAGGGCAAAAATAGAGGAGCGACGCGTTGCGCAATTCAACGATAGAATCATTTCGTTCCTCGAGACTATTAATATTAATTAAATGACGACGATGGGACGAAAAAATATAAAAATATTCGATAGGAACTCTCTCTCTCTCTCTCTCTGTCCATTTTTCAATCGTCGACTCGAAGATTCACCAAAATTCCCCCTCGAAAAATTCAAATTTAAATTTTATCGAAATTTTCGATCTGAATCGAATCTCGTATGAGTATCGTTATACATTCGAATGAAATTTTATCATCGGTGGAAAAGTATTATATCCTCCTCGAGATCGAAAATCTTTCGATCGGTTTTCTTTATCCTTCGAATCGGATTTTTTCTACCGAAGATTAGCCAACGAAGAGGGATCCAAAGAGGATCTCGTTACGTAACGAGAGAGAGAGAGAGAGGGGCGATGACACGAAGCGATAACACAAAGTTCAAACACGCGTGGACGGAGCGAGAAGGCGTGCTTGTGTCCACCGTGGCCGCGGAGTGGAGGAGCAAAACCCGCACCGCGAATAATGTTGCCGTAATCCTTCCAGAAAAACTCGCTCCTCGACCCGCTTCTCCCAGGAGAGGACTGGGAGCGGTGGTCGTTGGCCACCGCGAAACGGCTGATTTCAGCTGGTAATTCCGAGAAATGAGGGGCTTGTGGCCGGTGATGCTGATTCTGGCAAGGATCCTCGAGCCGCTCCTCGGGGACGACGGGTGTCACCGTAACGACACCGACCACGCCATTCCTTGTCAAAGATCGCGGGGGTTGCTGCTGTCCAGGCGGAGGCGTCTCGCTTTTCCACAGGGCAGCACGTTCGTGGTAAGTATCGGCAGTTTGGTTTCGAGTGGCGCAACCAAGTGGGGAAAAGTGCGTTCTCGGCAGAATACGCGAATCGAAGAATCGTTGGAAACACACAGTGTGAGAGGATAATCGCGTCGATTTCTCGATCGGAGGAACGGTTTTTAGGTGTGAATTGGTCGTTTTCTTTTCTTTTTTTTCCTTTTCTCGCGTTTATTCTCGCGAGCGAAGAAGGGAATCCATTCTTCGGATCGATGTGCTTGATTCGATTCGCGTTATATAAAATGGCAATGAATTTTGGAATTTTTTTTTTTTTTTGTTTTGTTTTTTCTCAGTTGACAGGGTCCATCTTGCAACCGATTCCCGTCAGATTGCCGAGTAATTGGAATCTGGTGTTCGAGTTCGACATGATCTGGCCTATACCGACCACGGAGGATTATAAGAGGAAGAAGAAGTACAAGAAGTACAAGAGGAGACAGTGGATGGTGAAACGACGTCATCGACGAGAGTTGTACGCCACTTTTGAGATGGCGTTGAACAGGTATGAACAGGTATTCCGCGTATTTCCTGCCTCGTCCACATTTCTCCCAAGGGAAACTTGCCTTCCAGCCAAAACTTGCCGGGAAGAGAGTGCACGCTGAGAACTATCTGCGAGGCGAGAACTTTGTTGGGTCCACCTGGCGATTCCTTCGTGGAAGATGCCCTTCGATTGATATTAAGGTACAATATTTGCTCGAAGTTGTATCGTATCGAATAACCGTTATCCACACGTTTATTTCTTCCTCTTTTCTTTTTCTCTTCTTCTCTCTTCTTTTTTTCTCTTTTTTTTAGCAACGTCGACAACGTGAGACGAGTCGATTCCTACGACGTCGCTTATAGAACCGAGACGCCTTGCGAAGTTGCTTACCCCTGCCCTGTTTCTCTCTTAAAGCTGCTACTGTCTCATCTGTACCATTCCAACGATCTAGGTTAAGAATAAAGTTTCTCTTATTCTAGAGAAAGAAAAAAGACTCGTGTTCCATCCTCCAAATCGGATAATTCGATAATTCGAGTGACAAGTGAGAGATACGTCGATACACGAAGTGTTTACGAATAAATCTAATCCTATCTATTCGCGCCATCCAAAGCGAAACGTTACGAAAAGGAATGAATCTGCGCAAGAGGAAAGATTTCGAATTCGGGATGAATTTCAAGAGAACTCATCGACGAAACAACGTGGCATGGCGTAAAAATGGAAATCGTCTCCGCTCTTCTTCCAAACTTGAATTAAGGGAAAAAGGATTTCGAAATACGCGGAAATCTCTCGTCGAGTATTTCACATAATAATAAAACGGGACCTTCCCTCTCCTAGCCTCCTCTCTCGAAGAAATTACGAAAGCAACGACCGAAGACGAGGCATTCAATCTCCCGGAAATTCTATCCCGTGGCGAACAAAGTTTTTACCCCGCAAGTTTTCAAAATTCTCGTCGAAAGTAATCGCGCTCGTCCACCGCGCCGCGATTCCATCTTCGGCTCCGATATTACACGGAGAACCGTATCGATTGTCCACGCGGTTGCTTCCCCGTTTAATAAAGCGACGCGGAAACCACGAGGATCCAATCATTCGCCCTTCTCCTCTTCCTCTTCCTCCTCTCGAAATTCGGTGGACGAGCGCTAATTTTTCCTCCTTAAAGAGCTTCTTCTCGTGCAACTGGCGTGGAACTTGGAAACGAGTCCCGACGGGCGTATTTCCACCGCTACGCGACCCAATTTTCCACCTTCCACTCCTATCGAGGGGAAACCGTCCGAGATATTTCCCCCCCTTTCCTTTTCGAGAACAGTTACTTTTTTTTTTGGTCTCTTCTCCTTAGTTCGAACTAACTGGAAATCAAAACATCGTATATACGGGGCGTCGAATTAGCCTGTACGTGGTAATCGAACTCCGAAGTCTGTTTGAAGTCGCGTTCGTTACGGATGGACGTGCAAAGTCGAGCAAATTATCGTTTCGATCGAATTATCGCGTTGAAAATATACGGTACTTTTCCATGTTCGTTAAATTCGTTTCATATTCGACGCTCAAACTTTCCTCTCCTTTCCTCCCGTTCTCTTCCTCTCTTCCATGCACGTGGCAAGTTTCGAAAGTTGGAAAGTTCGAGATAAGGGAGTTCTTTATATCGGATGTAATCGGCACGTGGGGCCAATGAAGAAGGTATCGAAGGAACTTTTTTCGAAAAAATTTCCTACCAAACCTTTCCACTCTTTTTCCAAAAAAGTCCCCTCTAAAAAGAAACGTTTCTCGTCCGTTTTGTCGTCGTAACAAGACGATAATACATATTTTTCACTTCGGATAGCGAAAAAATTGTTCGATCGGCCACGTTTGTTAAAGTATTTGTTAGAAATTTTCGCTATCCTTTTCCATCCAACTTTCGATCTCCTCTCGATATAAATTTCTTAAACGCCTCCTCGAAAACCCATAGTGAACGTCCTCGAAGTTTCCGCGAAATTCGTATTATCGAATCGATCCAAATTTTCTCGTCCAACCGCGAAAATCCGCATCGGTGGGATCACCGATGATGCAATCATCTTCTTCCCCTTTCTTCCGCGTGAAATTTAAAATTCCGATCGTGGCACGCGAAATGTCAAGCTGGCAGCCTCGATAGCGGTGGCGGTAATTAGCACCACGTGCAGTCTCTTCACGTTCGGTTTCGAGGTAGTCGTTAATTGTTGGGCAAACGAAGGGGGGGGGGGGTGGGTGGGGGTGGGGCGAGGGGAGGGGGGGGGGATGACGCGCTGCTAACAAACTTGACAATGGCCGCTCTGCTCTCGAAATGTAGCAATAACGCAGCCGTTTCACACTTGCCTTATTCTTTGGGAAGACGTCAGCGGAGGATCCTCGGTGGGTGGTATCGGTGAGTGGTATACCAATTTTACGTACAGAGATTCCGTACAAGAGTTCCTTTTCCTTTCCCTCCAATTTGAATTTGATATACGCGGTATACACGCTGGAATTTGGAACAAGCGAGAATCAACTTTTCTTTAGTTTCGTGAGGTATACGCGTATGAGAGGATGCTTTTATTTCCTTTTTTTTTAGACAGTGAAAAATTCTGGAAGAAATTTCGAGTACGTCGGATCTTTTAGAATATATATATATATATATATTACGTTATAACAGTTGGTGTTTTTCATCGTGATTTCTTCCTCGCTCGCTCCTAATCTTGAACAGACGTATCGTCTTTTGGAAGAATAGGAAATTTATACATATATACGTAGATGGACTCCTTTCGAATCCTTTCGAATCTTTCTTCAAACAGATTAAATGAAAAATTCGAAAATTTTCAAAAATCCATTTCACATCCTTTCTCTAAGAATTCTAGGACGTCCCAAATTTTTTTTCGAAATCGAATCTCGTCCACTTTTCGTCTTTGCTTTTGCTCCTCCGATCGGAGGATTTCACGATCGCCGTTAAATTAAATTCGACGAACGGGAAGAGTCTTCGATCTTCGATATTTATTTCTCGGCCGATCCTTAACGAGGTGGCCGCCCTTGTCAGAAAACGAGAAGGGAAGAAACGAGGCGGTTACGCCAGGGTAATACGGTTGCCCGATAAGTGAGATCACGTCGTTGCCATCGTTCATGCCGAAACACTGCCGCTGCCACCCCCTCCCCCTTCTTCCGTGTTTTCCAGTTATCGGCCACCGTCACCTATCGATCATTTTCCCCGACCCACGCCGCCCTTCCACGCCGGGGCTAACAATTTCCTGTTTCCTAAAGAGTTTACCGAACTGAGTTACAAGATACTTCCACGGGGAGGAGGATCGATCTTCCCTTCGTGGGAGGGAAGGGGAGGGGGAAGACTTCATCCCTTCTGCTTCGTCTCTCCCCTTCCCCCCCTTTTTTTTTTTATTTTTCCATTAACGGGAAGAAGAGATTTTTTTTTTTGCACGATCGTTCGTTTATCAACCGGGACGATTCTTTCGATATCAAGGGGATGGAGGGAGGGGGGAAGAAGAAATAACGTTACACACGTGCCGCGAGAAACGAGAGCTTTTCGCTATTTATAGTTGTTGCCCAGTTAAATCGCGCGAGACGAGTTTAAGATCGCGTATTTCTTCGATCGATAAAGCGATGGTGGTAGATCGAATATAGTTTGTCAATTAAATAACAAAGGAAGAAGAAGATCAGAATTATTTCCTTTCTTTTTCCAATTTCTTTTTTTAAGGGTTGTCTTCTCTTTTCGAAAAAGATCTATGTTCTAAGTGTTAGAGAGAAGAAAGAGCCAATCGTTAAAGACTTTTCGATTTCAAAAAATATACATAATCGTAAAGATGTGCGTAGATCAAGTAAATTTTTCGAATCGATACGAAACGAGGCTCGAGAACGATCACCGGATGAAATCGTAGAATCGGAGAGGAAAGCTCGTCGAAAAGCTCTTTTAGTTCGAAATTCCTCTTCTCTCTCTCTCTTTCTCCCTTTCTTTCTCTAATTGGTGAACGGAGATTCGAACACGAGGACGATCGAATGATTGGATGTGCGCGCTGTGACGCTATCCTCTGCACTGTCACAGATTGATTTATAGCAGGTCGCAGGAATTCGATTTAGAAGTTTACTTGTTAGTTGCTTCCTTAAAGGTGGATCAAGGAAAATTCCATTTCATTCTCCGCGTGGTATCGTGCGACAACGGGCGATCGATCATCGATCGACGAGAAAAATATATCGAGCAAATTTATCTTAGTTGTCTGGACATGGAACGAGGAAAACATTCGAAAATTCGCGCGCGACAAAAGCATCCATCTGCCCCGAAAATCATCTGGTTTCGCGGGAGTCGTTTATTGCATCGCTTAGCGACATTTCGGTGGCGCTCGTTTCTCTTTCGACCTCGTTTTTGACGGATCGCAGCGACGATTCACGAAATTGTTTCTCTTCCTTGAAATATGGCCGCGTCCAATGCTCGACGATCGATATCTGTATGCGTATGTGTGTGTGTGGGTGTGTATTCAAAAGTCACCGATAAGTTTCTTCGATAACTCGGAATCAAGTTAAATAGTTAAAAGTTGTCGACCGAATTTGCAAATTTCCGCGATTTCTCGTTTGACGATCCGTGATAAAGTTCCATATTTTCTTCCTCGATCGAGCCGAGCATAAATAATCGATAGAAAATATTTTTAAAAAATCCGTTCCAACGCCCGTTCAACGCGATTCGATTTCGAATCGTTTCGTTGAATTCGTTTCAACGTTGCGACGACTTTGAAAAGGAATTTGATTTTCATTTAAAAAAATCATTCGAATTTTATCCGAAACAGTTTTTCGGTAAAAAAAACTGTTGCGAGAGTAAACAAAGCGATTCCACGCCCCCTCTCCCCCTCCCCGTTGTACATTTGACAAGAGGATAGGAGAAGAGGACGAAATAAAATAACGATTTTCAGAGAAAATCAAAACATTCGGTGTGAGATGAGAATAAAATCGAATGTTCAATGGCCGAAATCTAGCCGAATTGTTGATAATCCGTTGAGTAAATCTGTCGATAACGAGAATAATCTGTCGAGCAATCTGCTTGCGACCGCCTGTTAACCAACGTAACGAGCCGTTAAAATAAAGTGAGCGTCAACAAGCGTTTCAAAAAAAAAACTCTCAACTCGTTGTCTCTTATATATATATATATGTATAAATATTTATACATCACCTATTTCTCTCTTAATTAAAATCGAAATATCATGGAACGAGACCGATCCGCACAGGATTTTCAGCCTATTCGAAATCGTCAATATTTGTACACCCTTCTCCCCCTCGATCGAGGGGGGAAACATTTTTCCAGCCAGGATGGAATCGCGTGTGCACTATTCAGATGGTACGCAAAGTTACACGGAGGGCAAATCGAACCAACGAACGAACGAACGAACGAACGAACGAGGGTAGAGAAAGTAGTTGAGAAATTTCAATCGTTTGTGTTGACTCGCCTAATAGATTCCCGGGGAAACGGGCAAACGGGGGCGGTGTTCTGATTCGATCAGACTTTCATTCGATTCGATTTGATGCTCTCTCTCTTTCTCTATCCCCTCCAAATTTAAATCGCACATATGATTGGATCTCGTTGTTTAAGTTATCGAACGTTACCCTCCCGTCGATACCCTCTGTTATCGCCTCTTTACCGCAAATTTTCTCACCCCCAACCCCGTTTTCTTTAAATAAGAAAAAAAGAAGAAGAAGAAAGAGAAGTCGCCTTGGATCCTTTATTCTCGTGGAAAAAGAGTTGGCGCGTTTTTTGTTAAGAGAGAGAGAGAGAGGCAACCGTTGATCCGACTTCGTTATCGCGAAAAAAGGCGGCAAGGCTTTATAATTAAGCGATCACGATCACGATTTCCTCCCGTTTTCCATTTTCGTTTCTCTCGTTTCGTCGCGACGAAAATTCGAAAGGACGGCACTGTGTCTCCTTACAAAGCGTGTCGATCGATTTCCCCGCGTATCATCCCCGCGTTTTCGATCGCTTTCAGCCGAATAACGGCGGAATATCGAAGCTTTTTCGAGGGGGGTCGAGGAACGAGGGTGGCAATTTTCGCTTCCCCGATTTGGTACGAAAACGCGTATAAAAAAAATCGATGGGAAAATACAACATTTCCTCCTTGCAACAGAGTGGAAACGTTTCAGCTGCGGTCGTAAAACCATTTTCACCCAGGAGGGGGGAGAGGGGATGATGGAAAACTGACTTCCTGCGCCATGTGCGATAATTTTTTTTTTTTTCTTTTTTAAACAAGAACAATAGAATTGTTGGAACGATCGGGAGCAATCGAGGCACAGGATTGATAATATAATAAATATTTAGAATTGCAACACAAGATTAGACTTGCATATGCACACCAGATTTTTCCTTCCAATCGCAACATGTTTCTCCTTTCTTTCTTTTTTTTTTTGCGCGCGCACTTTAGAAGTTTTATTAGAAATCGATCGATTACGCACGCTCCAATAACAACGGATCAGGTTAGAAAAAAGGAGGAATAGGAAAAGAGCGGAGGTAAGGGGAACGAAAGATCGTGACGAAGGCGTCCGGTTTCGCCCCTGCGCGCGAGCTTCCACGGGAACATTCTTCCACGCGAAGTGATCGCGAGAACGCAATCGCGAGCCCCTCGTTCCCCTGGAAAATTCACGAGATCGGACGAGAAGCGTGGCCTACAACTTCCTTCGAGGTATTCGACAATATCCTGTTGGCGACGACAAAGGGGAAAATTCCTCGAGGCGGAGACAGAAAGATGGAAGCCCGAGACGACGAGGGTGTAATCAAAAAAGGGAGAAGCGATAACGCTGGATACGAAAGTGAAATTGCAAATGTGTTTTATCATTGACGAATAGGTGGATAGATTCGTTTTGACACTTTTTCTTAACGATCGAATCGAATCGACTTTTCCTTTTTCTTTTTATAAATATATACGTAAATACGAATCCAAAAATTTCGTTCTTGGCATAGCAATACTCGATGTTCGATTTCCCGAATAGAATCCTTTCCTTACGAGTCCATCGTCAAATTCAATGTCAACGTGACAAAGCGACGAGATCCACGAAATCCCCAAATATCTTCTTTCAAATGTTCTGCCGGTAATGGAACAGGGGGGAGAGGAAAATATGGAGCTTTCCGGGTGAAAAAGAACGGTTCCTTATCAAAATTCACGGTTAAAAAAAAGAAAAGAGAGAGGAAGAGATAAGGGGATAGGAATACGGAATGTAGATGGAAGAGGAATTGGTCGTTGGAACGAACGAAGGGGCGAGATAGACGAAGAAACGAAAGCTGCAGGGCCATTCGAACGATGGATCGATGGATGATCACGAAGGAATCACGCGAATTAACAGTGGACTTTTCGACCTTCTCTTCCATCGACGTTGTTCATCGACCTCGAACCCCTCCAAGTATGCAACCCGATCCAATACTGAATTCCTTCCACTCCGTTTCGATCTTCCGCCATAATTTTATAATAAAACGTTTCGCGATATTAAGAGACCGCTTATCATCGAAACGGCGCCGCATCGAAACCGTGTGACAAATTATCGAGGAGAGGGGAGAGGGGAAGAGGAGAGAAGGAAGAGAGGCGGAGGAAACGCGAAATCTCGCCGGAGGTTTCCATCATCGTCGTGATGGAACCCGCCGGCTCCAGGATGTATCGGACCTATCGATCTTTTCCACTAGGTCGACAATGAATGTCCCCGTATCTGAACCACTGCTGGGTCAAACTGGTGAATTATTATCTAACGTCTGGTGTTAAATTGCCCGATGCAATCTGCAGGTATTCGACGGTGTTCTACGGGAGGAATCTCGGACGTGAGACGCGTCACAAGTGGGGGGGACGTAGATTCGGGTGTCGGGAAATTGCACGCATTTTTTATGCAAGAAGCCTCCTCGAAAGAGCTTTCCTCGAAGGCGAAATAAATTAAAGAGTCTCGGGTTAAATCGATCCAGCGATCGTTTGATAGAAACGTCCCTCCAAAGGAAAAAAGAAAGAAAAAAATTTCGAATCGAATTCCAACTGTCGCATTAACGCGCGGTTTAATCAAGTCGATTCGTTGATTGATTCGTTTCGAAGCAATCGAATCAATCTTCGATCCCTCTTCTCGCGCAAAAGCGGTGCGATAATCGCGATTTAACACGCATTATCAACAACACGCCTCCACGCTTCTTTTTCTCGTATCCACCAAAAACTCTTTGAACGATTATTGCGGAGAGATTTTGCTCACGGAAAAGAGTTGTTCCAAATTCCTTTACGATCCGTCACGGTGGAAGTTCTCGGCAGGGGACAAAATAGAATAGCTCGTGAAAAAAAAACCATGGAAAAGGAAAATTGCCTGTTCGGATTAATGAGATGTCTTTCTTCGACGAAGAAAAACGAAGAAAAGCGCTTTACGATCCGATTTCTTTCTTTCTTTCTTTCTTTCTTTTTTTTTTTCTCTCGAAAGCCAAAGCAAAGAGTCGCCGATGGTTTATTTCATTCTTCGCGAATAACCTGACTGACGTGGATGGTCGCTGGTGGATGGAGGAGGGCCGCTTTATTACAGTTCCATTACTCATCTCGTAATTAGAACAGCAGCACGAGACGAGGACAAATGAAGCTGAACGGCTTCTCCTTTCTTTCGCCATCCGCGTTCTCCATGGCTCGATCTAGTTGTTCGAAAACAGTGAGAAATGGGCACGACACGAAGGGATTCGTTTCCAACTGGGAATCCTCGTTGGAATTGATTTAACGCCGATACTTGGCCGGTTGTTGCGTTTACTTATTTTTTTTGAACGTTAATAGAATTCCATCCATGGATGGGGCGTGCGTGCAGTGACGCCATCTGGCGTCAGCTACCTTCAGAGGAATATTTCGAATTTTCGAAACGATTAACTTTTCACCTCTTATTTTTTTTTTTCTTTCCTTCTCCTCTTTCTTTTTCTCTCTTTCTTTCCAGGAATCTCGATCATGAATCGAAATGAAGCGTGTTGCTTCCTACTTTTGATTCTCTGCACTGTGCTGAGCGATTATCGAGTCAATTCCGACAGCGACGCCCGTTTATCCAGGAGAAGGAGATATGTTGTTTTTCCCGAGGGTTCAACTTTCTCCGTAAGTTTAATTCTCTTCATTCTACTTGAATTTTATTCTAATTTTAATCATGTAGCGAAAATAATCACTATATATAGTCACGATCCATTATTCTTTAACCCTTTTGAACGAAACATTTTCTTTTATCTCTGTCTCTTTTGCTTTTACAAATTGCCTCTCCCCCTCTATAAACAATCGTTCGCTGTTACAGATCGCTCTTTGCGTGACGGTGCACACTGTGACACCTGACAACATCTTCACGGAGGGCATCAATTGGGGCATCTCTTACGACTTGCCTAACGAAAGCAAACCGGCCCTCGAACCGTTCTTACAATTGAGACACGACCAAGTGAAACCGGCGAAGAAATACGGGAGCCAATACGCGACAAGCGACAAGAACGTGGTCAAATATTCGGGATGGAACAGTGACAAATATTACGTGAAACCCGGGAAAAGGAAATATCTCAAGCCTGACTATTATTATCTGCAACGTAGACATCGACGGGAACTTTACAACAAACTGGAGACCATTATGAATGCGTAAGCCGCTAAGAGAAATTTTTCCTATGTAGATTTCTCATGTAGATACGTTGAGAAAAGCGTAGTTACATAAAAGAAGCAAGGAGAGATCGTTGGATCGTGGACGAAAAGTGGCTGACGATTTATGCGTGGGATCGGAGAGATATTTAATGATACAAAAAAAAAAGGAAGAAGAGAGAAAGAGGATTTTCTCGTAAGAGCAAAATGGCGACTCTGATCTGAGAATTTAAGGCATCTATTGCTCTTTCGTTGTTACGTATCGCCATTTTTTACGATCGTATCATTCGTTATCAACGGTCGATAAAAAAGGGAAGAGAAATAAAGCGAGCGGAAATGAATAATAATACGTTGGATAAAAAAAAAAAATTAACCAAACTCGCTCCCTTTCGAACTGGCTTCGATAAAATGTTCCCAAGGAGGGAAGAGAGGGAAGGGGAGGGAGATGTATCCATTTTGGCGGCGTAAAAGCGCCGATCTCCTCCCATTTGAAAATCATAGGGACGAATAAATTTGCACAAAGTGCGCCA